CTCTGGCTAACCCCCTCCTGGTGCTGGGGACTGAACCAGGGATGCTCCACCACTGAGCCACACCCACGGCCCCCCTCCATTTTTCCCTTTTTGGGGGTACTGGAGATTGAACCCGGGGGTGCTTGACCACTAAGTCACATCCCCACTCCTTTTTATTCTATTGATATTTTTTTTCTTTTGAGACAAATTCTCACTAAGTTTATTAGGACCTGGCTAAGATGCTGAGGGTGGCCTCCAATGTACGATCCTCCTGCCTCAGCCTCCTGAGCCGCTGGGATTACAAGCATGTGCCACCACGCCAGCCGTCTCTTGTCATCCTGACTGAACGTACCACCAGGAGTTCCACTGAGTGAAAAAGTAAGGGAAGGAATGGAAAGTTCAGGAAAAGGAGACATAGAACTCTTTACCGGTGGCATAATCATCCACATAGAAGATCCAAGGAATCTGCAGAAATAGTCTTGGAACTGCTGAGGGGAGTTGAGCAAGGTCACAGGATACAAGGCAAATACACAAAAGCCAACACCGTTCTAAGCGACAGCAATGGATGCATCCCTCTGTCATCAAGCACTTACTGAGCACCTACTGTGTGGCAGGGACACCTACTGTGTGGCAGGGACTGTTGTAGGTGCTGGACACAAAGAAAAACAACAAAGACAAGAGTCTGCTTGGAACACTGAATTCAAACTCCAATGCTGCTGTGTGCACACCTGTAGTATCAGCAACTCGGGAGGCTGAGGCAGGAGGATCGCAGGTTTGAGGCTGGCTTCAGCAACCTAGCAAGGCCTTGTCTCAAAATAGGGCTGGGGTGCAGCTTGGTGTTAGAGGGCCCCTGGAGTCAATTCCTGGGACCAAAAAAAGAAAAATAAAACTATAATACCATTTTCAGTAACGAAAAAATGAAACATTTAAGTGAATGATAAAAAAAAAACATGCATAGGACTCATATATACTAAAGGTGACAAAATTCTGATGAAAGACATCAAAGGAGACTTAAAAGCAAAGGGAGCTACTGTGTTCATGGATGGGAATGCTCAAGAGACGCCCATCCACTCTGTACCGACAGATGGGTTCAAGGTGATTCCTATCAGACCCCAGGCAGGAGCCTTTCTAGATGGCTCTAAAGTTTACCGAGAGCTAAAGGGACCTGCACGGGCGCCACCATTTTCAAGAATGAAGTGGGGGTGAGGCTCCCTGACTCCAGGGCTCAGTGGCCGTGACGGTAATGAAGACGGTGTGGTGTCCCTGCAGAGCCGGGTGGAGAGCTGGGGACAGACGCAGGGACTCACCCCCGACTGACTCTTGAAAAAAGTCAACTTCTGCTCAGGAAGGACAGTAGCCTCCACCCAATGGCACCAGAACATCCGGACTTCAGTGGGCAGGAGGGACAGACTGCACATGGGTCCCAGGCTTTCACAGAGACTGCAGGACCCTGAAACCGGGCGCCCCCCTGCCGTCCCAGCCACTCAGGAGACGGGCGCAGGGGCATTGCGAGTTCAAGGCCAGCCTGGGCCACTTCATGAGGTCCCTGTGCAAAGCAGACAGACGGCTGAAAACTTTTAGAAAAGGAAAAAAAAATGAGGGACGGACTCACGGTGAGGCACCAGGAGCTCTTAACTCTACAAGGACGTGAAAGCCACGTGCACCGAGTGGAGACGGTACTTTGAATCTTGATCTCTTTCCCAGTCAGTGGGGGGGTGCAATGCTTTCTCCCCGCCCCCCGCCTCTCATGCTGGCCACCGAGCCCAGGGCCTCACGCACACTAGGCAAGGGCTCCACCACGGAGCTCCACCCCAACTCCCAGGGACCACGTCTCCGAGACGCCGGGCAGTGGCAGCCGCTGCAGCTCCCTGTTGGCCACGTGAGCACCAGGGCTGACCACCGACACCCTGCAGCGGGCCGCATTGCTGGGCTGTGGTGTCCAGCGGTAGATAGACCCAGTGCATTTTTGACTTGTGATGTTTCCAGTCTCTTCATAAGTTTGTTGGACAGATCTCCACGGGAAGTAGAGGGACATCTGTTTAGAAGAAAAAAATCTTTGCGATCAAGGGCTACGCAAACAGCTCTCAGACTTGACACCAAGGTCACAAGTCACGAAAGGAAAAAAAACCTGGTAAATTGGAGGTCATCGGTATTCATATTTTGGCTCCATGAAAGACCCCAATAAGGGATAAGAAGAGACATTTCACCTAAGAGGCTACAGAGGAGCCTACGTCCATCCGATATGTTAAGATCTTTAGCCACCGGAAAAACGCACATTAAGACAACAGTGAGATCTCGCCAGGCACCTATCAGAATGATCAAAACAAAAAACTGACAACACCCAGTGCTGGTAAAGATGATGATAAACCGGTCACTCCTGCATTGCTGGTGGGAGTGGCAATGGTGCAGCTGCTCTCCACCATGTTTCTCTCCTGAAGAAAGAACTGGATGCAAGAGGCAGAGTCCTAAATGAGGTTCAGGACTCCGATTCCAGACCTTCCCCCAGCCTTTCAGGATTTTCATTTTCTTTCTTTTTTCCAGGGTCTCGCACATGCTATTTGAATGCTCTACCACTGGGTTACACCCCCAGGACTTCTTTT